CAGCTATTCTTTACCACAAGCTTTTGTAAATCTGCGTCTCTAACGGAACCTATAGTATTGGAAAAGTCTACTCTCTTCACCTGAAAATTGTTTTTTCCTAATTCCACAGTTTTGTCAGCGTTGGGGTGTTCACAGCCAGGAATGGCCAACATTCCACAGTCTTTGCGTTATGGAGTGGTCAAAGGGAACCAGAGGTTGACCAGATTCCCACAGTGAAGGAAAGGTGGGCACTCATCTCCAGAAGCAGCGTGTTCAGCGAACAACAAGAGGAAGAAGACGAACAGGTAAACAGGTCGAACCATTCTTCTGAAACTCTCACTCATGGAGAACAAGTTTAGTCTATATGAGACTGTATGACTGTTTCAAGCATTAACTTGCTAAGGTTTGGTTGAAGCTCTGTGACACGCGCGGCAGTTGACTTGGCTGAAAGACTAAGACCAACAAGATGAATATGAGACACGTGTCCTTCTCTCAACACGAAGCAGAGGAATTTTTTTTTTTTTTTTTTGACCAGAGAAGCAGAGGAATTAATAATTAAGCAGTGGATGATATATAGAGAGAGAACCTTAACTAAATGAGTAAGATTTTGACACTGGCAATTGGCAAACACTTAAAAAAGCAAAAACTCATGTAGTCCTGCACTGCTGAATGATCGTTTGCTCAATTTAGTAGCACAACTTCAAATCCCACCCCAAGTGAATATATATTTAAGTTAATTTAGAGCTTTTTACAGTCTTCACTTTTTCAGGTGTAAAACGAATCAAAAATTGATAGTGAGCAAAAAATTTTGTGAAATAATAAGCTTGGTAAACGAATACGAATTTGATACAGGCGATTCCCTCAAGAGTTAAGATCTCTTGTTATTCATTTACTTACGGTATAAACATTTCCTAATTCATTGGATAAAGAAATTAGTCAGGCTGTGAGTAATTGTAAATGAATAACATAGAGTAGATGAACAAGTTGTCCAATATCTATACTAAATTTAAGAAAAACACTTATAAGTAAATAAAATAGTTGTAAATGTCTATAAATAATATATACTCATACAGTTCTTAATGTAAGACCTATTTAATTAATTTGAGTAGATTAAAAAAATCTTATAAGTTAGTTAATTATAAGAAATATGACATATTTTTTCTAAAACACAATAATCACTCTTCTTAAAATCCTTCATTCCTCTCTTACTTGATTATAGTTCAGGGAATATAATAGGAGTAATTTAAAAAAATGATAAATGTAAAAAGTGAGTTTTATATTTAAGACCAATATCAGTTCAATAATTAAGTTCTATATTAAGAATCGGAGAAGTATATAGTAATAATCCTATGTTTACGTCAATTTTGAAAATTTTGGCCTCTAAAGTACTCTAAACCCTTTTAAACAAACATATTCTATCATAACATATTGTTTTCTCAAATCGTTTTGGTTTGAAGCAAGTTTTGCATAAGAAAATATTGAGTTACTTCCAAAAGCTGCCGTTGCAAGTAAAGAACCTTTGGTACGTAAATAAACTTGGGTTCTTTTTTCTTTTTTTCCAACTACATTGAGAATTTTCCTGACTTATAAAAAGTCCTTTTAAAGTTTTCTAACTTTCGTTTTCCCCAAACTGCCCCATGACCAACGTTGTTGAGACTTTGCTTCAAATCGACCTCTTTATCACTTGATTCTCGCACCATACGAATCAGTAAACATCTCCAGAATCAATAATTACAATAATTTAATATGGACAATAGAGCAAATGCTCAAATTAGTAGAAGATTCTTCATTGCTCCAAAAAACCTAACACTGGGTAAGCTTTTATCTGCATAACTAGAAGAAAGAGGTCAGTTGTGCCTGTCCCTCATTTTTGAGATAATTCCCAAATAATGTTTTTTCATGTCTCTGCATCATTATATTCTGCATAAAATGAATAAAATTTTAATATCTTTTGGGCCAAAAATGGCTCAGTTTTGAATTTTTTATGATTTTTTTAAAATTTAATGCTTCAAATGGTTCAGATTCTTTTTAATTTAGAGTGTTAACTCAGAAAATAACACAAACAAAGCAAAGGAAGCACATAATCAGGAGTAACCGTACTAAATTTCATACTTTTTGGCGGTCGAAGTATGCGGATTCTCACGACACAAACAATATCCTTGGCTAAACCTTTGTGTCAATAATGGTCAAATTAATCTGTGTCCTTACTACGTTGGTTGACTTGGACATTGACTTAGATCAAGACTTGGAAAATTGGCCTGAAAAATAAGGGCAAGTGGTAATCCCTTCCTACTCAGATTCCCCAAATGTCACGTTAGCAAGATTTGAATAATAGTCCATTGTTTTGCCCCACCTTGAAGTTCCCACAACGGCAAAAAGACCAGTAGCAGAAAATCCAAGTTTTAATTCGTTACCAATAATGATTTTAAAAGTAGCCTGGTATCCGTCAGCAGGGTCAAAAAGTATAATTAAATTTTACTTCTTTCACTCATTTATGAAGCAAACGAAAGGCCTTATCTGTACAGTGATGTTGGCCCGAGACATTAAGAACTTGACTGGATAATTGGGGCCACTGAAGGAGAATAAGACGAGTGAAGAGAAACATGATGCTTTAGAGTATTCATATCATTTACAAAAACCAGATTTTAAAAATAAGTTTACGATATACAAAATAAAAATTATAAAATTTTTTTTATCTCAACTTATCTTCCAAACACATTTTAGATGATGTGAAAGCATGGACAATCATTATATGTTTTTATTCCTGATGCAGAGTAGGATATTCTCATTGTGCTGGTCAAAAAAAAAAAGTTAGGATATTCTCATTGGTTACAAGATAGAAATAAACAACTTAGAGCCTGTTTGGATAATTGCTCAAAACATGGTTTGGGCAAAAAAATTGCCAAACACTAAGAAAAAAAACAGAAACCATGGTTTTGGGCTCAAAACCATGGTTTAAGAAAAAGTGAACCCATTCTGCTTCTTGCTTAAATTAGAGAATATGATTGTATCTGTCAAAATAGATTTTAATAATAATATGATTTTAACACCCCTCAATTATTTTTTTTATAAACATATTTAATCTTATATTTTATAAATATATAGACACATATTAATTGTTTATTAATTATATGATTTTATATATATTATTAATTATGTTGGTAAAAAATATATTATTAACAATTTTATTCTTTCAAATTAAAATATATTATAAAATCTATCTTTTATATAATTATCATATTAACTTATGTCTTTTTTAGTAATTTTTACATATAAAAAGTGTTTCTGATAACAATTATCCAAACACTCTCATTTTATCAGAATCATTTTTTCACAAAATCTATTGTTCACAAAATCTGTTCTCCTAAGAATCTATTCTCTAGAAGCTATTCTCCAAACTATAATTTACTTTAGAATTACAGTTATACTTAAATATAGACAACAAGTTATTTTATTTGAATGATTGTCGTACTCATGCAAATTAAAAATCTAAAACACAGGCTTTGTTTCTTTCATGTCATACGAACAACTTGTTTTACTTTAGAATATAAATAATAATTAAGTTATATGTAATTATGTGGGTGATCCTCATGTCTCCTTGGAGTCAAATTTAATTTAATTTAAAATGCAATACAGTGATGTAAATAAAAGTCCAATTTAATTTAGTTGTCGGTCCAATTTTCAAGGGAAAATCTCAAAAAAAAAAAAAACCCCTTGGAACATAGGAAATTTCAAATTGAGTCATAGAATTGTGCAAATGATAGAAATGGTCAAATTGAGGATAAAAAGGGAAAATAAAGTGGGTTTCATGAAAGTGTAGTCAGTTCTCAGGGTTGGGCAAAGAATTCAGTTCCATCAAAATGATGGAAGTGGGTTCCATGAAGAAGTGGGTTCCTTGGTACCAAACAAGCAAAAATCATGATTCCACTTCCAATTCACAGCAAACGGGGCATAAATTTCTTCTAGTTGACTCCTAAATTTTTTTTCCTTAAGAGAAGTGACGTAAGTTACCAAGTACTTTAAAATTGACTTGACTGCTGAAATCGAAAGTTTCACCGCTAAAATTTGAAATTTCCTATCCGTGACTTTTGAAAAATTTCAGAAGAACTTGTACAGAATTCCACTCCCCAATTAACCATGAGATCAAACACCCGCCAATGACGGCAGCTCCCCCGGTGGGAATGTCGCTGGAAACAGGGGGAAGGAGGGGAATTTTCTTTCAATTAATGAATGTGCTTTTTGGTCAAGATTTCTTTTCTTCCTTTTTGCTGAGAAGGAAGGTTTTGAAACAGAATTTACTAATTTTGAGGTCCTACTGAACAGAATTAGAAAATTCTCCTTTTATTTAAAAATTAAAAGCCAATATAATACTAATCATAATGTATTACAGTGATAAATTAGATAATACTACCTCCAGTCCTAATTATAAGAGCCAGTTGACTAATTTGAGGAGATTAAAGAAGTAAGTTGAGTTAGTTATTTGTCTTAAATAAGTATTATCTTTCTTAAAATATCCTTATTAATTAAGTATATTGATTAGAACTATCATTGTTAAAAGGGCTACTTTAGAGAGAAAAAATATATAAATATGAGAGACAGTGAATTGGAGTCTTATATTTAAGACCAAAATAAAAGTCAAACAGGGTCTTATATTAAGGACCGGAGGTAGTATAATCAAAATTACATAAACTACTAAATATGTAATCCAGATTCAATCTTGCATGAATTAATGTATGGACATATGTATCTTCCATAAATTTCTTTAGAAATGTATACTTTTCATTTTTAGCCTAATTAAGAGAATCTCAAAGATCATTTCACATTTATTTTTACTTTTTAATTAGATAAAATTAAAATTTCATTATTTTTTTAATGATACATCAAACAAATGCTCTATAATCAGTGTTCTATTACACTAAATTGCCTATTATATTCCTTGAAGCAAACAGGCACCAAGAGAGATTTTGTGTGTGTGTGATGTGATTGGAATGAGATACAGCTGGAAGCATGATACGTACAAAGGAGGGGTGAACTCATTGCAACGTCTTCACATATAATATATAATGAGTACTCAGCAACTGCCAACAAAAATTCATTCAATTAGTAAAAAATTAACCCCACATAGTTATATTAAAAAAGAAACAATCACGTGCCCATAACTTCTTAGAGATTAAACGCTAAACAATTTTGCATGATCAACTTTTCTATTTCCTCATTTCTGGATCATATTGTCTTGATCAAAGCTTATTGAAGTCATCGCTCGTGTTTGTATATCTGCTTTATTCTTTGAAACTTCATCACCATCTCCGTCTTTTCCTGTATCCTCTTCTTCTTCTTTCCCACCTTCGATTTTCCTCAAAACCTCTAAAACCTCATCAATGGAAGGCCTCATTTCCTTATCTATCTGCAAACACTGAAATGCCAATTCTCCCACTGCAACTACCTTCTTCTTCACCTCACTATCCTTCTCAAGCCCCAAACATGGATCCACCAGATCATCAAATTCATTCCTTTGAATCTTCCTAACTGCAAGACCTGCCAATGTAATCTCATCTTTCTTCCTTCCCATATCAACCGCTGGCATTGAAGATATTAGCTCCATAAGCACAACTCCAAAACTATACACATCACTTTTATCAGTCAACCTAAAGCAATAATGATATTCTGGGTCAAGATAGCCTGGTGTTCCTTGTGGAGCCGTAGAAACATGTGAAACATCATCTGGGAATAACCTAGAAAGTCCAAAATCAGCAACCTTAACACAAAAGTTCTTGTCAAGGAGAATATTGTTGGTTTTGACGTCACGGTGGATAATGCCAGAGGCATGAAGATAAGACAAAGCACTAGCAGTTTCTATAGCGATTTTGGTTCGAATAGGCCATGTCAACAATGTAGGATTTGCAGAGCTGCCATGAAGGTGACTAGCAAGGGTTCCGTTTGAGATGTATTCATAGACAAGGAGGAGCTCACGGCTCTGGCGTGAAGTGCAGCCATAGAGAAAGACAAGGTTTCTGTGACGCAGGTGAGTGAGGATCCCAACTTCAGTCATGAACTGTTCTACTCGCTTGTAGTTGTGGCTGAATAGGTGTTTCACTGCAACTTCACGCCCATCTGGAAGCTTACCTATAAGTGAAATAGCTTAAAATTCAAAGCTTTATGAAGGAAAACATAAGATTATATGAAAAGGAATGAAAGGCATTCGTGAGATGACCATGGTAAACAGAGCTGAAGCCTCCGTCTCCAAGTTTGTTGGAGGGGTTGAAGTTGTTCGTTGCGCCTTGAAGCTCCATGTAGGAGAAGATTGGCACTCCAAAGAAGAGTCTGCCACTGTCTGGGTCTGCATCATTTGGGTACTGATTTGTTGACCGGAGTCTGACGTGGGACACAGCATTCTGCTTCTTTTTGTAGTGTCCGAAGCAGAGCAGCGACGCTAATATCAGAATTCCTAGCCCCACTCCAAAGCCTGATCAAGCGTCAATTTCTTACTCAAAAATCTTCCTTTTCAAAGGTAATGTTTAAGATTATATGTATTGTTTCTTAGGAATCTCATAATGTGAATACGGTAAAAAGTAAAATTACCGATTATCAATCCCAGCTTCCAAGCCCGTATTTTATTTTGATCCTCTGTCTCAATTTCATCGTTTACAACAATTCAAAGAAGTAGATACGAAATGGACAGATTAGTATCGGAGCTACTTCGATCAGATCAACCAAAAGGGGGGGGGGGGAACAACAACAACAATATGCAGAGGTAATTTGATAGTTGACAGGCAAAAAAACGATCTGGTAGAAAAGAATGAGTAAATTTCTCATGATGCTTGTTATGCATACCTTTGAATTTGGAGCAATAAAATGCTCCTTTACCGTCAAGAAGGCATATGCCTTTGTTGTGCTTAGAACATCGATCACAGTCATCGGAAAGTCGAATGTTAACGGGGAATTCAGAAGCTATGAATGTAAAAGGATCAGGAGAGAAAGCTAGCATATTTACTGGAAGCAGAACCCTTGGACATGTTGCTATAGAAGATGGAGGATCAACTTGATCTTGCGTTCGGAAGAAGATGGTCTCGTTATTACTCTTACGACATCCTGTATAGTTCAACACCTGCTTTGGAGGGCTAACTCTGAGACTAATATTACATTTGTAAAAGGTTTTTGCGTATGGAAAGATATCAAAAGAACCCAAGGGTGAGCTGGGAGGAAGAGTAATATTGCAGCACAAGGCATCACATCTATCATTTACCAAACTCTGCTGCAATCTTGCGTCTCTAACGATAATATTCTTGAAAGGCCCCATTTGTGTCACTTGAAACTCCTTCTTTCCAAAATACACTATTTTTTGAGCGTTGGGGTCTTCACAGCCATGAATCGGCAACATTCCACAGTTTTTGCGTCGTTGAGTAGTTAAAGGGAACGAGAGGTTGCCCAGATCCCCACATTCAAAGACACGTGGGCACTCTTCAGAAGTAGAATGGTTAGCGAGCAAGAAGAAGACGACCAAATGAAAACGTAGAACCATTCTGCTGAAATCCTCACCCATAGAGAAAAATCTATGAGACTTCGATTGTTTCAAGCAATAACTAGCTTGAAGGTTTTATGCATTTGAGGAATTAGGGGCTGCAATTGCTTCCCCATAAAACAAACGACCCAAGTCGATGCCCTATGACACGGCAGTTGACTTGGCTTCAAGACCAAGACCAAGAACATGACTGAGACACGTGTCCTTCTCTCAACATGATGTGCTTCACCCGCACCCTCTTATCAATACTAATGTTTGATCCTTAATAAATAAGCCGAATAATCAACAGTACAAGTGTAAAACTAATAGCAGAAAGGTGAATGATAGAGGGAAGACCTTGAGTCAACGTTTGATGAAGCGTGTCACAGACGTGGAACACATCAGAAATTTTGAAAAAGCTCATCACCCTTCAGATTAGATATGCATATTCATGTTTCCTTTTGATCGACATGCCAATACAAGTAAAAGATGACATCGTATGACGATAATACGGAATGAAAGTGCTACTTCTAACTATGTTTAACAACACTTCGTTTGTATGCTTGTGAAGATATAACTTTTACATTAAGGCTCAGATGGATGAATAGTGCAAATGAATAATGAACATGCACTCATTGGCTTTGCAACTGTTCCTGCTCCATTAGAACTCATCTGGGTATACCTTCATGATCTGTTATTGTACCTGTGGAATCAATCAATTTTGGAATCAGTTAAACTGTCTTCAACTGTAGAGTTTTGAAAAGCTTATATTTTTGCCTCTGATTAGTGCTTTTGTTTCGTGAGATTATTTGAGAAGGATTTGATTGAGAATGATGCTTACAACGACATGGAGGTTCTAGAGAGCTTCGTTGCAAACCAAACCAAATGAAAGTTTAAGGACTAACCCTCAAATAGTTACATGATATAAAGAATTTATTACAAAAATTTGAAATCCAGAACCTTCTTTACGAATTGAGGTCAAACTATAGGAAATAAAATATTATTTTTTAAATTAATCAGAAAGAAGCAGAGGGGACAATATACAAGCATGACATATATGTTCTTGCCTAATTATCCATGTCCCTCAAATTTGAACATTCGTTAATGACAATTATATACATGGAACCAGTTAAGCCAAGCATAAAGTTCTTTCTTAAACTGAAATAATCATTTATTTTCAAGCCACCATTTTCCAAATAATTCTCTAATCATGCAGGCACCAGAGCTCTAACCATTTGATTGGGGCTTGATGGTCGGTGATGGAAGGAGTTTTTTCTGTTTTGACTCACAAAATGTTACTTCCAGAATAGTTCTTAAAGATCTTATAGAAATAAAGTCATTTTGCGTCCCTATTATTTTTAGGATTTGCTTGCTTCAGTGGTCATTATTTCTTTTTCCCTTGTAATCTTGCATAGGTATCCCAACGCACTTGTGGTTTCTATGACGATTTTGATGCAAAAAGGCTACGGCAATGGGAAAGAAAACCTCCCCACTTTTCTAACCATTCTCTTCCCTCCACTTCTTTATTCTTATCGTGACATCAACTTTTAACGATTGAAATTTAATACTATCTCTGATGTTAAATATAAGTTACTTGTACATATATTCACATATTAAGAAATGCATTAAATTAACAAAAATTTTCAATTTTTATTAAATTTTTTATTCTTTATGCATTTACCAATTATTCTCATATCTCTCTCTTACTTCTCTTTTTTCAATGAAAATTAAATAAGGATAAAATTGAAAAACAAACATTAAATATACTACAAGTAACTTACATTTAGGACCAAATTTTTTTCCTGCCAATAACTTACATTTATGACGAAAGTGATAGGTTTTATATTTAGAAATGAAAGTGGTATCTTATAAAAAGTATATATATATATAATATTTTAAAGAAAGTATGCAGATGTGAATTTTAATAATTTAAATTTATTGATACATATTTTTTTATTAAAATAATATTTTTATAGGATATTGAATCTCAACCCTTCAAAATTAATTCAATGATGAGAATAAAGAAGGAGGAGGAGGTGGATGACAAAGGAAGTGAAAATGTTCCTTCCTTACCACACTATAAAAAAATACATGTTATTAGTGACAGAATTTAATGGCAGGATTTTTTATTTAGCTATAGAATTAGTGACGAATTAGCAATAAAATTTGTTCCATTGTTAATTTTTTTGTCATTAATTGGATTAGCGACGGAATTGCTAACCTGATTTTTTTAAAAAAAAAATTTAAATGCCACATGGCATCTCTATCAGTCGCCACATCATCACCAATGACGATCACCAACCACCTCCACGTGTCCCTCCCTGCCACCTTTGACGATGACCATCACTTGTTACTGCCACCCCACATGTCATCTTATGAGGCCACTTGTCTCCACCACATAATTCCCTCCTCAAAGTGACTTTCATGGATCGAACATAGGATCTCGTCTGTGCACACGTGTGGTTTCACCCATTGAACTGCAATGAACCTATTAACTTATTATGCATAATTAAATATATATAATATTCTTTTATACAAACAATTATACATACATATATATTATTAAAAACTAAAAATAAAGTATATGATAATTTTAATCATAACTATTTTGATGAAAAAATAATTTTTAAACATTTATTTTACTATTTATTTTATAATTTTTTATTTTTTTAAAAAATTTAATATAATTTTAATGTCCAATGACACTAATTTTGAATTTTAAATCATAAATATTTTTTTAAATTTTTTTAATTAACATTGATAAGATATACAATTTAATTATATATGTATTACTACCTCCGGTCCTAAATATAAGAGTTAGTTGACTAGTTTAAGAAGATTAAGGAAAGAAGTTCAGTTAGTTATTTGTCATAAATAGGTGTTGTTTTTCTCAAAATATCTTTGCTAATCAAGTGTGTTGGCTAGAACTATCATTGTTAGAAAAACTATATATCTTGAGAAAAAATGCATAAATATTAAAAACAAAGTGGATTGGAGTGTTATATTTAGGACCAAGATAAAAGTCAAACGAAGTCCTATATTAAGGACCGAATGTAGTATATTACATTATATTATATTATCAATATGTATTTTATATATTTGATGAAAACTATTTATAATTAGTCAAAAAAATTTGTTATTCAAAAAATAGCTACTATAATAAAATCTAATAAATTATTCTATATAAAAAATTAAATGATTTGAATAGATTATGATATACAATAGTCTCCTACTTGTATATGCATCATATATAATTTATTTTTTTTAAAATTATTTGTATATACCATTTGTTTTTGCATTGAAGATCAAAATCGATCTATATCATGAGTATTAATTATCTCATAATTAAATTTTATTGTTCAATAATTGAAATTGAAAATTTGCTTCAATATTAGTTTGTATTTATATAAATTCATTTTCGGTTTTGAATTTCTATCATATACTATATCTTTCAATATATTGTACATATGATAAAATTATTTCTTTCATATATCAGTTTGTAAAAGAAAGTTATTAGTATTCTTATTATATTTTTTAATTATTATTAATAATCAAGAGGAATTGATTTTAACAAAATATAAACAAGTTTTCTAAGACATTGTCTTTCTTTTCTCAGCATATAACTAATGATGACATAAATGATGATGATATCTTAACTAACACTAACTCCACAAATACATTAATTTATTTTACAATTAAAAATATATTTAAATTATTATATTTTTAATTATGTTATTATATAAATATTTGTAAGATTATAATCTAAAATAATGAAATTTAAAATTAGTGACGGGTTAGTGATGGAATTGCGACGGATCATAGAATTGGCGACAAAATTAGCAATGAAAACTTCTATGACAAACAATTTAGTGACGGAATTAGCGACGAAAATTTCTGACAAAAAATTATGTCGCTAAATATTTACTGACTGATTTTTTGATGGATCGGCGATGGAATTTAGTGACGAACAAAAATTCCATCGCTAATCTGTCGCTAAATTTAACGACAGAATTTTTGTTAGTAATCCGTCAGAAATTAGTGACAGAAAATTTTTCTGTCACTAATTCTATTGATAATGAGCTGTTTTTTTGTAATGCCATATGACGGAAATGGAGGGAAGAAAAGGGGAGAAAAATTTTAATAAGCTTCATTTGAAAAATTAAAAAATGAAATTTTCAAATTTTAATTAAAAAAATATATGATAAAAAATGATAAAAATCAATTAAAAACTTTTAACCTTACTTCTTCAGTTTAACTCATTCTTTTGAGCTCATTAAAATTTTCATTCACCCTCCCACCCACTCCATTTCTCTCCCACCAAACGTACAGTGGCAATCACTATGAGTTCCCTTAAAGATGATCAGCGATAGTGCCATTTGAGATGCATTCAAAAACAAGGACGAGGTCTTGGCTTACGCGTGAGGAGCAACCATATACAGACACAGCTTCTTAACTTGAAAAGCAAGAAGTAAGATGCAATTAGTATAAATGATCGCAGCAGAAAATGGACCACGAACTACAAATAAGCTTATAAGAGATTTTATGTAGCTCGAGCTAAATATATCAGAAAAATTTTGTCTCGATTTACATGAAAATATTTTTTTAAATTACTTCTAGAACACCCCCTAAATGTTAAACACTGAAATTATTGGTAGATTCACTGCTCCATTTTACAATGACACTATTTGGTGAAGATGATGCCTTCAACAACTTTGCCTGATCATAGTTATTGGAGTCTCCAAAGGTAGTGTATTTGTCTCAGCTTTATCTTCCTCTACATTTCCCCCTTCTTCTTTCTCACTCTCTATTTTCTTTAAGATCTCTAAAACCTCATCAATGGAAGGCCTCATCTTGTTATTTACCTGTAAACACTGAAACGCCAATTCTCCCACTACAAACATCTTCTTCTTCACCTCACAATCCTCCTCAATCTCCAAACATGGATCCACCGGATCCACCAACATAATCTCATCTTCATTCCTTCCCATATCAACAGTCGGCAATAAAGATATCAACCCCATAAGCAAAAGCCCAAAACTATACACATCGCTTTTATCAACTAGCCTAAAGCAAGCCACGTCAGCAATGCAAGATTTGTAGAGCCGCCATGGAGGTGACTGGCAAGGGTTTCATTTGAGATGTATTCATAAACAAGAAAAAGCTCATGGCTCTTACGCGAAGTGCAGCCATAGAGGGAGACAAGATTTATGTGATGCAAGCGAGTGAGGATCTCAACTTCTATCATGAATTGTTTGACTCGTTTGTAGTTGTGGTTGAATAGATGTTTCACTGCAACTTCACAGTCATCTTGAAGCTTCCCTGTAAATGAAATGGCTTAAAGATTAAATTTTTATGAACCAAAATACAAGATTATTGGACAGAAAATGAGAGTGATTCATAAGATGACCATAGTAGACACACCTGAAGCCCCCGTCTCCAAGTTTGTTGGAGGGATCAAAGTTCTTTGTTGCTTCTTGAAGCTCCTTATAAGAGAAGAATGGGACCCCAAAGAAGAGCCTTCCATTATCTCGGTGTGCATCATTTGGGTACTGATTGGTTGATCGGAGTCTGACGTGGGATACGGCATTCTGTTTCTGTTTGTAGAGTCCAAAGCAGAGCACCAACCCTAGTACGAGAATCCCTAATCCCATGCCAATGCCTGAGCAAGCGTCGAATCCTTAAAACTCTTTCTTTTGAAAGGGAATGTTCACTTAAATATTTCACCCAAACATTATCTTCTAATGTTTCTTGGGAACCTCATGATCATGTGAATACAATTACGAGTTTATAAAAACCAATGCAGATGCAGGATCCGAAATAATAATGTGCGAAAAAGAACATAGCTGAAAATGAGTAAAAATGAAATAAAATTACCCATGATCTTCTTCTGAAACTCTCACTGGTAGAGAACGAGTTTAGTCTATGGAGACTATAATAAGGTGAATGAAATAGAGGGAAAAACTTAACTAAATGAGTAAGATTTTGACACCGGCAAACGATTGAAAAAGCAAAAACATATGTCGTTTAATCGTCTGCTCAATTCAGAAGCACAACTTCAAGTCCTAATCAGAGTGAATGCTATATTTAAGTTAATTTAGAACTTTTTAAATATTCAATTATTCAGGAGTAAAACGAATCAAAAATTGATAGTGAGCAAAATATTTTTGTGAAATAAACTTGCTGTAAACGAATAAGAATTTGATAGAAGTGATTCCCTCAAGAGTTAAGATCTCTTGTTATTCATTTACTTACAATATAAACATTTCCTAGTTCATTGGATAAAGAAATTAGTCAAGTCCAATATCTAAACTAAATTTAAGAAAAACACTCATAAATAAATAAAATAGTAGTTAACGTCTATGAATAATATATACACACACACATATGGTAACAATAGATGATCATAAAAAGAAATAGCACTCTGGCATAAATGAAAAACAATGAGACTCTTTGTCCAGTGGGGGTAAATATGGGCATGCATTGCCTATTGATAAAGACTTGGATCGATTTCCTTGTGCCCTGTCATCATCAAGGTACTTAAAGATCAACAAATAAGATTTCAAGACATATGATATGGAAAAGAATGGGACTCTTGTCTACTTGGTGATAAATCCTTTTTTGTGCAAAGAATTCTGGGCTTAATCGGTAGATCAAACAGCAATTTTGTGATTTAAATGTAATTGCTTTGTAGGAAAAAAATAAAAAAAATTATAACTGATCAAGTTAGGAATTAAGTGCCATTTTTTAGCACTTTTGGGCTGTGGACAATTACTCTTTCTATTTGTTTTGTCAGATCTTGGGCCAGAAACAAAAGACATAAGGCTCAGGCCCAGCCAGAAACATGGGGTTGATATGGGAATGCATTAACTGTTGTTATAGAATTGGAATCGCTTTCCTTGTTCCCTGTCATCATCAAGGAAAATATCAAAAAATAAGATTTGAAGAAGCTAAAGAGAAATGAAGTTATCTGAATAATCACAATTAATCAAGGTGCCTGTACCATTGACACTGCATTTGCCATCGAGTAGACGCTGCCCTCCACTCGAAATACAATCCAAACAAGAGAGAGATAGCTGTACTTGAATATAGATTCCATCGGATGATGATGTGTCGGTGGAGCCATGAGATTGATGTTCCAATGGAAGTTGGTGAGAGAACATTCTTTTGAAGGGTCGGGCCACTGACTAGCTTGTTTGGGAGGATAGTAAATGCAGTAGTCAGAACATGTATGGCTAATTAAACCTTTGCGTCAGGAATGATCGAATGAATCTGTGTGTTTACTACGTTCGTTGACTTGGACAGTGACTTTGAACAAGACTTGGAAAAGTTGCCTGGAAAATAAGGTCCCGTTTGGTAGGGAGCATTGAAAATGAGGGATTGCAATTGGGATTGCAATTGAAAAAAATCATTAAAATAATACTTAGCATGAGTAATTGTTTGTTATATGGGATTAGACAAACTCATAAAGGTGGGATTGGAGAATACCACTTCCCCCCATGGTATTCTCCAATCCCACATACATGGCTTTGGCTAATTCCATATATCAAACAATTTCTTATACTAAACACTCTCTTAATAGATTTTTTCAATTGTAATCTCAATCCCAATCCCTCATTTTCAATGCTCCCTACCAAACGTAACCTAAGGGTAAGGGCCAACCCATTCCTACTCAGCTTCCTCAAATGTCATGTTAGCATGACTTGAATAACAGCCCATGGCTTTGTCCACCTTGAAGTTCCCACAACGGCAAAAAGAACTGTGACAGAAACTCCGGTTTTAATTAGGTACCAATAATGATTTTAAAAGTAGCCTGGTATATTCGTTGCCAGGGTCAAAAAAGTATATAATTAAATTTTACTTCTTCCCCTCATTTATGAAGCAATAACCGGGCCCCAGCTGTACACGATTTTTACGCGTGCGGCCCAGGACATCAAGAACTAGATGGGATAATTGGAGTCCGATGAAGGAAAAGAAGAGAAGTAAAGAGAAACATGATGCTTCTGATGTTGACAGGGTTCTGAAGATTAGTTTAAAGTATTCAAAACGCGTTTCTGTCATTTGTTTAGATGATGTGAAAGCATGGATAATTGTATGTTTTTATTCATGATGGAAAGCGCAGGATGGTTACAAGATAGAAACAAACAACAACTTATTTTACTTTAGAATTACAGTTATACTTAAATGTAGACAACAACTTATTTTAGTTGAATGATTGTTGCACTCATGCAAATTTAAAATCTAAAACATAGGTTTTATTTCTTTCATGTTATACGAACAACTTATTTTACTTTAGAATATAAATAATACTTAAGTTATATAGGGTCTAAGTAATTATGTGGGATGGAGGAGATATAGCTGAAAATGAGTAAAAAGGGAGTAAAATCACTTATTAGCAATCCTGGCTTCATTCCAAGCCTGTCTTTTGTTTTGATCATTTGTCTCAGTCATATCGTTGACAAAATTCAAAGAAGTATATATGAAATGGACAAATTAGTGTCGGACTTATTTAGAATAAGCAGGGCTATAGTTCAAGAATTGATTTGGAGAGCTAACTTTGAGCCTAATATTAGATTTGTAAAATGTTATTATTAGTGGCAATGGTTTTTTGAAATTTAACGAGGAGAAAAGATAGAGGGAAAAAGTTGTGCGCAATATTTTGAAGACGTGTATAATATTTTTTTTTAAAGCTTAATTCGCCCAATATCTTTCAATATGAAGAGATGAATTAGGTTGATTGGTGAACTATTTTGGTGATCAAGATTTACAAGGCTTTAATTCCATCTCCTTTAATGTTTTCAATATCAAATCTTTTGTAAGGAACTGAAAGATTTAATTCATATTTTATATAACTTATGAAAATTACTTCCTTTATATTCAAACCCTTCATATAACAATATCTTAATCTAATATATTGTGATTTCTCATTATAAACTTTGCCGTAGGATGCAAAAGTAGACTGACTTTAAAAAAAAAAAAGAATCTTCGCCTTACCTTAGTACTAAATTTCTTTTATTTGACTCCTCAATTGTTTTTTCTTAAGAGAAGTGACATAAGTTATTGAGCACTTTAAATTGACTTGACTGCTGAAATCGAAAGTTTCAGCACTAAAATCTGAAATTTCCTGCCCGTGACTTGTAAAAAATTTTACAAGAACTTGTACAGAATTCCGCTCCCTAGCGATCAGATCAACCAGCCACCAACGACCGCAGTTTCACCTCTGGGAAACTCGCTGGCAACAGAGGGAGGGAAATTTCCTTTCAATTCATCAATGGGCATTTTGGTGAAGATCTCTTTTTTTCTTTTTGCTGAGAAGGGAGGTTTTGAAACATAATTTACTAATTTTGAGGTCATATTGAGCATAATCAGAAAATTGTCCTTTATTTAAAAGCTAATATAATACTAATTTTGATATATTATAGTAATAAATTAGATTATATAATCAAAATTAGATAAATTATTAACTATGTAATCCATATTCAATCTTGCATGAATTAACGTGCGGACATCTCTATCTTCCATGAATTTCTTTAGACATTTATACTTTTCATTTTTAGCCTAATTCATAGAATTTCAAAGATTATTTCACATTTATTTTTATTTTTTAGATAAAATTAAAATTTCATTATTTTTTAATGATACATCAAACATATCCTCTATAATCATTGTTCTATTACGCTAAATTGCCTAAGACATTCCTTGAAGCAAGCAGGCAGTATGTCAATGGAATGAGATGAAAGGAAAGTATATAGCTAGAAGTATGATACTTATAAAGGAGGGGTGAACTAATAAAAATTAATTCAGTTAGTAAAGAATTGACTCATAACCTATATAGTTGTCCTAGTTCTGGTCTTGGTTCTTGTAAGTGTCAAGTCCCAACTAATTACTCATCTAAACTTTTATATATTAAAAAAAGAATAACCACGTGCCCAAAACTTCTTAGAATTAAACGCTAAACAACTTTCCCTGATCAATTTTTCCATTTCCCCATTTCTGGATTATGTGTTTGGAGAAGATACTGACTTGAACACTTTGCCTGATCAAAGCTTATTGAAGTCACTGCTCGTGCTTTTATATTTGCTTTATTCTTTAAAACTTCACCACCATCTCCGTCTTTCCCGGTATCCTTGTCTTCTTCTTCTTCTTCTTCTTCTACTTTCCCACCTTCGATTTTCCTCAAAACCTCTAAAACCTCATCAATGGAAGGCCTCATCTCTTTATCTATTTGCAAACACTGGAATGCCAATTCTCCTACTGCAAACACCTTCTTTTTCACCTCACTATCTTTCTCAATCCCTAAAGATGGATCCACCAACTCCTCAAATTCATTCCTCTGAATCTTTCTAGCTGTAAGACCCGCCAATGTAATCTCATCTTTGCTCCTTCCCATATCAACTGCTGGCATTGAAGATATCAGCTCCATAAGCACAACCCCAAAACTATACACATCACTTTTATCAGTCAGTCTAAAGCAATAGTGATATTCTGGGTCAAGATAGCCTGGTGTTCCTTGTGGAGCTGTAGAGACATGAGAGACATCATCTGGGAACAACCTAGAAAGTCCAAAATCTGCAACCTTAACACAAAAGTTCTTATCAAGAAGAATGTTGTTGGTTTTGACGTCACGGTGGATAATGCCGGAAGCATGAAGGTAAGCCAAAGCACTGGCGGTTTCTATGGCGATTTTGGTTCGAACAGGCCATGTCAGCAATGCAGGATTTGTAGAGCTGCGATGAAGGTGACTGGCAAGAGTGCCATTTGGAATGTATTCATAAACAAGAAGAAGCTCACGGCTCTGACGTGAAGTGCAACCATAGAGGCAGACAAGATTTTGGTGACGCAGGAGAGTGAGGATCTCAACTTCTGTCATAAATTGTTCTACTCGCTTGTAGTTGTGGTTGAATAGGTGCTTCACTGCAACTTCACGCCCATCTTGGAGCTTTCCTATAAATAAAAGGAAATAGCTTTAAAGTTGAAAACTTGGGCATGAAAAGTACAAGATTAAAGCAATTGAGAAGGGAACCATAGTAAACAGAGCCGAAGCCGCCATCTCCAAGTTTCTTGGAGGGGTCAAAGTTGTTGGTTGCGCCTTGAAGCTCCGTGTAGGAGAAGATTGGGACTCCAAAGAAGAGTCTGCCACGGTCTGGGTCTGCATCATTTGGGTATTGATTCGTTGATCGAAGTCTGACATGGGATATAGCATTCTGTTTGTGTTTGTAGAGTCCGAAGCAGAGCAGCAACGCTAATATCAGAATGCCTGATCCCACTCCAAAACCTGAGTACAATTATAAGTCTCTCACTCAAAGATTATCTGGGTGGGGAAGATAGCTGAAAATGAGCGAAAATGAAGTAAAATTACCTATCTTCAATCCCAGCTTACCAGCCCGTCTTTCTGTCTCAGTTTAATTGCAATTAATTAGGTTGCATCCACAAAAAAATAATTATAAGCAGAGTTGACAGGCATACATATGGCCATCTAAAAACGAACGAGGAAAATTAACTGAAACAGAGAAATTCTCATTTGTTTGTACTAAGCAATGCATACCTTGAGACAATAAAATTCTCTGGTGCTGTTGAGAGGGCAGGAGCCTTTGTCAAAAAGACATTGATCACAACCACGAGAAAGCTGAATACGAACACTGAATTCAGAAGCTATGAATGTAAATGGATCAGCAGAGAAAGCCAGCATATTCAATGGAAGCTGAACCCTTGGACATTTTGTTAAAGGAGGTGGAGGGTCATCCTGATCCTGCGTTCGGAAGAAGATGGTCTCATTCTCACTTTTAGCACATCCTGTATAGTTCAAGAATTGCTTTGAAAGACTCTGATTGAGTGTAGTATTGCATTCGTACATTGTTATATATGGCCAGATATAAAAGGAACCCAAAGCTGAGTTGGGAGGAAGAGTAATATTGGAACGCAAGGCGTCACAACTATTACTTGCCAGACGCTTCTCCAAATATGCGTCTCTAACGACAACTGTAGAAAACCAGGGTTCTATGCTCGTCACTGGGAACATCTTTTTTCCTAATAGCACAGTTTTTTTAGCGTTGGGGTCTTCACAACCATGAATCGGCAACATCCCACAGTCTTTGCGTTCTTGAGTGGTCAAAGGGAACCAGAACCTGCTCAGATTCCCACAGTCAAAGAAACTTGGGCACTCATCTGCTGAAGCAGGATGGTCAGCGAACACGAAGAAGAAGAAGGAGAACAAAAGAACAGGTGGAACCATTCTCCTGAAACCCAATCTCACAGAAAAAGTTTAACGTACGAGACTTTGGTTGTTTCATCAAGCAATAACTAGGTTGAAAGCTTTATCCGGTAGGGGAATTAAGGGTTGCAATTCGTTCCCCATGGAACACTCAAGACAAGTCCAAGCTGTATGACACGGCAGTTGACTTGGCCAAAAGAACTAGGCCTAGGCCTAGACCAAGACCAAGATGAAGCAGACGAATGAGAGACACGCGTCCTTCTCTCGACATAATGTGCTTCAAACGCACTCTTATCAATACTAATGTTTGGTTCTTAATTACTTATGCTCCCAGTTGCAAATATCATCTAATAAATAAGCCGAATAATCAACATTGCGAGTGTAAAACTAATATCAGGTTTCTCGGGGATAAATATAATAGTCTATAGAATAAAGTGAGTTTTTTTAAAAAAAAAAAAAAAAGTATAACTCAGAATATCAAACTTGTGTTCTTCTTCTTGGGATGAAATCACTTACCATCTCAACTAACCTATGTTTAATAACATTTCATTCATATGCTTATGAGTTATGATTTATGAATATATAACTTTTATGTTATGTGCATTTTACTGAACAGCTAATGTTGTAGTTATAACATCCGGTTCTGCAATAGATTCTCCTCAAGAGTAAAGAACGAAAAATGAAAAGCCAATCAATATTTGCTTCTCTTGCCGCTCGATTGTTTTGATGATCTGTACTTATTGGTTATCTCATTTGCTCATGAATGTTTTGTGTTATGTCGTATTAAGGCTGAGCTGGATAAATGCAAATAGTAACAATTACACTCATTGGCTTTGCAAATATTCCTTCTTTAACTTTCTCCATGATTTGTACCAGTATAGAATCAACGATTTGGAATTAGTTAAAACTATCTCCAACTGTAGCGTTTTTGAAAAGCTTACCTTTTTGCCCGTGCTTTTGTTTGAAATAGAGGCTAACGCTCAAACAATGACATGATATAAGAATATATTACAAAATTTGAAATCCAGAAGCTTCTTTATAAATTGAGGTAAACTATAGAAAATAAAGTACTCCTCCGGTTCTTAATATAAGACTCATTTAATAAATTTGATTAGATTAAGAAAGTTAGGTAAGTTAGTTAATTATAAAAAAAAGTGACATATTTTTCCTAAAACACCATAATTATCTTTCTTAATACCCTATCTCCCTCTTCTACTTGATTATGGTTGATGGAGAATCTATAGGAGTAATTTTGAGAAATTGATAAATATGAAAAATGGGTCTTATATTTAGGACCAAAACTAATTCAAGAATTGGGTCCTATATTAAAGACCGGAGGAGTATTAATTTTTCGTAATAATGCGTGATCGAGAAAGAAGCAGGGGAATATAAACGAGCATGACAAGTATTCATGATAGCCGCAGAACATGGACCAAGAATTACAAATAGGCTCAAACATTATTAAACGCTGCAACTTGTAGTACATTCACTGCTCCATTTTACAGTGACTCTATTTGATGAAGACGGTGACTTGAACAGCTTTGCCGGATCATAGCTTATTGAAGTCTCCACAGGTCCTGTATCTATATCAGCTTTATCTTCCTCTAAAATTTCACCTTCTTCTTTCTCACCCTCTATTTCCTTCAAAGTCTCTAAAACCTCATCGATAGAGGGCCTCATCTCGTTATTTACCTGCAAACATTGAAACGCCAATTCTCCCACTGCAAACACCTTCTTCTTCACCTCATCATCCTTCTCAATCCCTAAACATAGATCCACCATATCCTCAAACTCATTCCTCTGAATCTTCCCAACTGCAAGACTCCCCAGTATAATCTCGTGTTGGTTCCTTCCCATACCAATAGCCGGCATTGAAGATATCAACTCCATGAGCACAACCCCAAAACTATGCACATCATTTTTGTTTGTTAGCCTAAAGCAAAAATAATATTCAGGATCAAGATGACCTAGTGTTTCTTGTGGTGCTATAGAAACATGCGACACATCATTTGGGAACAACCTAGAAAGTCCAAAATCAGCAACCTTAACACAAAAATTGTTGCCAAGGACAATGTTGTTGGTTTGGACATTACGATAGATGATGCCAGAAGCATGAATATAAGAGAGTGCGCTTGCATTTTCTATGGTGATTTTGATTCGAACAGGCCATGTCAACAGTGAAGGATTTGCAGAGCAACCATGGAGGTGACTAGCAAGGGTTCCATTTGGTCTGTATTCAGAAACAAGAAGCAGCTCACAACTCTGATGCGAAGTGTAGCCATAGAGGAAGACAAGATTTTTGTGACGCAGGCAAGTGAGGATCTCAACTTCTGTTATAAATTGTTCGACTCGCTTGTAATTATAGTTGAATAGGTGTTTCACTGCAACTTCACGCCCATCTTAAAGCTTCCATATAAATGAAATAACTTAAAATTCAAAACTTTATGAAGTAAAATACAAGATTATAGGGTAAGAAAAGATAGGATAAGAAATGAGAGTGATTGATCAGATTACCATAGAAAACAGAGCCAAAGCCTCCGTCTCCAAGTTTGTTGGAATGGTCAAAGTTGTCGGTTGCATCTTGAAGCTCCATGTAGGACAAGATTGGGACCCCAAAGAAGAGTCTCCCACTGTCTGGGTCTGGATTATTTGGGCACTGATTTGTTGATCGGAGTCTGACATGGGGCAGAGCATTATATTTCTGTTTGTAGAGTCCGAAGCAGAGCACTAAAGCTAATATGAGAATTCCTAATCCCACTCTGAAACCTGAACAAGCGTCGAGTCCTTAAAAATCTTCCTTTTAAAAGCAAATGTTTACTTAATTCTTTCACTCAAATATTATCTTCTAATGTTTCTTGGGAACCTCATGATGTGAATACAAATACGACTTTATAACAACCTATGAGAAATTGGAATGGATCAAGAGAGTGTGTATTTTTCGAATATGAACGACTACATATATACAGGTGTGTAAGCCGCATATATCTCTCTGTATCCTAACTGTAAATATACTTCGTTTGACCGACTTTCTCTCTCCTCAATATCCCCGTAATATCTACACAGTTAATATATGATAGTATCGTATATATGATATCTAAAAACCTATGCAGATACAGGATCCCAAATAATAATATGGGCAAAAGGAGATAGCTGAAAATGAGTAAAAATGAAGTAAAATTACCCATTATCAATCCCAGCTTCCAAGCCCGTCTGTTGTTCTGATCTTCTGTCTCAGTTTCATCTTTTACCCATCAGACTAGTTTGATAGTCCCAGGGCATAAAACGAGCTTCTGAAAAGGAATGAGTAAATTTAGCATGTTACTTGTTATGCATACCATTGAATTTGAGACAATAAAATCCTCCGGAGCTGTTGAGCCGACATCAGCCTTTGTCAAAAACACATCGACTACAGTCATGAGAAAGCTGAATTATAACGGCAAATTCAGAAGCTATTAATGTGGATAAATCTGCAGAGAAAGCCAGGGAATTCACTGGAACCCGAACCCTTGGACATCTTGCCAAAGCAGGTGGAGGATCTTCTTCGTCTTGTGCTTGGAAGAAGATGGTCTCATTGTTACTCTTGCCACATCCTGTATAGTTCAAGAATTGCTTTGGATGGCTAACTTTGAACCTGATATTACATTTGTAAAAGGTTATTATGTGTTGAAGTATGTAAAACGAACCCAAGGTTGAGTTAGGAGGAAGTGTAACATTGCAGCACAAGGCATCGCAGCTATTATCTATCAAACGCTTCGGTAACTCTGCGTCTCTAACGAAAACTAGAATACTGGAACTGTCTATTCCTGTCACTTGGAACATCTTTTTCCCAAAGAGCACAGTTTTTTCAGCGTTGGGGTGTTCACAGGCATGAATCGGCAACATTCCACAGTCTTTGTGTTGGGGAGTGGTTAAAGGGAAGGAGAGCTTCCCTAGATTCCCACAGTCAAAGAATGGTGGGAATCTGTAGTGGCAGAGGATAAAGGAAGCACAAGGTCAGCACAGAACAAGAAGAAGAAAAAGAACAAATAAACAGGTAGAACCATGATCTTCTTCTGAAACTCTCACTGGTGGAGAACGAGTTTAGTCTATGGAGATTATATATGATTGTTTCAAGCAATAACTTGCTAAGGTTTGGTTGTAGCTCTGCGACATGGCAGAAAGACCAAGACCAAGGAGATGAATATGAGACACGTGTCCTTCTCTCAAAAAGTAGAGGAATTAACAGTAACTGCAGTTGTTAATATAAGAACTGTCTTTCAATTTGATTGAATAATAATCCATTCCTACTCCGCTTCTTCAAATGTCATGCCAGCATGCCTTGAACAATAGTCCATTGTTTTGCCCCACCTTGAAGTTCTCCCAACGGCAAAAGGACCACTGACAGAAACTCTAAGTTTTAATTAGTTACCAATAATGATTTTAAAAGTAGCCTAGTATAGTCATCGTCAGGCTCAAAAAGTAAATAATTAAATTTTACTTCTTTCACTCATTTATGAAGCAGTCACCGGGCCTCAGCTGCGCACGATGTTTACGCCTGTGGCCCAGGACATCAAGAACTTGACTGGATAATTGCAGTCCGATGTAGAAAAGGAAGAGAAGCAAAGAGAAACATAATGCTTCTGATGTTGACAGGGCTCTGAAGATTATCTTAAAGTATTCAAAACGCGTTTTTGTCATTTGTTTAGATAATATGAAAGCATGGATAATTATGTTTTTATTCCTAATGGAAAGCACGGATGGTTACAAGATAGAAATAAAGAACAACTTATTTTTATTTTACTTTAGAATTACGGTTATACTGAAATATACACAACAATTTATTTCAGTTGAATGGTTGTTGTACTCATGCAAATTTAAAATCCAAAGAACAAGTTTTGTTTCTTTCATGTTATACGAACAACTTGTTTCACTTTAGAATATAAATAGTACGTAAGTTATATAGGGTCCAAGTAATTATGTGGGATAAAGGAGATATAGCTGAAATGAGTAAAAAGGAAGTAAATTACCTGTTAGCAATCCTAGCTTCATTTCAAGCCCGTCTTTTGTTTTAATCTTCTGTCTCAGCTATATCGTTTACAAAATTCAAAGAAGTAGATGTGAAATGGACAAATTATTGTCGGAGTTCCTTAAAATAAGCAGGGCTATAGTTCTAGAATTGCTTTGAAGAGCTCACCTTGAGCCTAATATTACATTTGTCAAATGTTATTGTTTGTGGCAATGGTTTTTTGAAATGTAGCGAGGAGCAGAGATTGAAAAAGAAAGTTGTGTACAATATTTTTAAGACGTGCTTTTTTTTAAGATAGTGCTTTTTTTTTAGGTTTAATTCCCCTCACCACTTCCAGTATTAAGGTGTAAATTGAGTTGATTGGTGAATTAATTTAGTGATCAAGATTTACAAAGCTTCGATTCCACTCCCTTTGATTCAGCATCAATTCTCTTGTGAAACTTTTCATTAGAGGATCTAAAAGATTTAATTCAAATCTTATATAATTTATGGAGATTATTTTACTTATAATCAAATCTTTCTTATAATAGTATCTTAATCCAATATACCGTGACTTCTCATGATAAACTTTGCTGTAGGCTATTGCATCAGTTGACTGACTATCCCAATTGGGGGGGGAATCTTTGCCTTGCCTTAGTACTCTTCTGGTCCTAAATATAGATCCATTTTGTAGTATAATTTACACTACAAAATAAGTCTTATATTTAGGACCGGAGGTAGTACTAAATTTCTTTTTATTTGACTTCTATGTTGTTTTTTCATAAGAAAAGTAACATACAAGTTATTGAGCACCTTAAATTGACCTGACTTCTGAAATTGAAAGTTTCACCATTAAAATTTGAAATTTCCTATCCGCGATTTCTAAAAAATTTTAGAAGAACTTGTACAGAATTCCACTCCTTAGCCATCAGATCAAACACCCATCAATGACGGAAGCTCCGCCGGTGGTAACAGAGTGAAGGAGGGGAATTTTCTTTCAATTAATCCAGGGGCATTTTAGTCAAGATGTCTTTTTTTATTTTTGCCGAGAAGGAAGGCCTTGAAACATAATTTCCTGATTTTGAGGTCTATAAACATAAATTAGATAATATAATCAACATTACATAAATTATTAACTATATAATACATATTCAATCTTGCATGAATTAATGTATGGACATCTACATCTTCAATGAATTTCTTTACACATTTATACTTTTCATTTTTAGCCTAATTGATAGAATTTCAAAGATCATTTCACATTTATTTTTATTTTTTAGACAAAATTAAAACTTCATTATTTTTAATGATACATCAAACAAATGCTCTATAATCATTTTTCTATTACACTAAATTGCCTATGATATTCCTTGAAGTAAGCAGGCACTAAGAGGGATTTTATATGTGTAATCTGATTGGAACGAGATGAAAGGGAAGTCTACATAGCTAGGAGCATGATACTTACAAAGAAGGGTGAACTCAGTGCAATGTCTTCATGTATAATATGAGTATTCAACAATTGCCAACAAAAATTCATTCAGTTAGTGAAAAATTAACTTATAAATTATATAGTTGTCCTAGTTTTGATAAGTCTCAGAACCCAACTAATTGCTCACCTAAACATTTATATATTAAAAAAAGAACAATCATGTGCCCAAAACTTCTTAGAGATTAAATGCTAAACAATTTTGCTTGATCAACTTTTCCATTTCTCCATTTTTGGATCATGTTGTTTGGAGAAGATGCTGACTTGAACAACCTTATCTGATCAAAGTTTATTGAAGTCATTGCTTGTGCTTGTATATCTGCTTTATTCTTTGAAACTTCACCACCATTTCCGTCTTTCCCTGTATCCTTGTCTTCTTCTACTTTCCCGCCTTCAATTTTCCTCAAAATCTCTAAAACCTCATCAATGGAAGGCCTCATCTCTTTATCTATCTGCAAACACTGAAATGCCAATTCTCCCACCGCAAACACCTTCTTCTTCACCTCACTATCCTTCTCAACCCCCAAACATGGATCCACCAACTCCTCAAATTCATTCCTCTGAATCTTCCTAACTGCAAGACTCGCCAACATAATCTCATCTTTGTTCCTTCTCATATCAATCGCTGGCATTGAAGATATCAGTTCCATAAGCAAAACCCCAAAACTATACACATCACTTTTATCGGTTAGCCTAAAACAATAGTGATATTCTGGGTCAAGATAGCCTGGTGTTCCTTGTGGAGTTGTAAAGACATGTGAGGCATCATCTGGGAACAACCTAGAGAGTCCAAAATCAGCAACCTTAACACATAAGTTCTTGTCAAGGAGAATGTTGTTGGTTTTGACATCACGGTGGATGATGCCAGAAGCATGAAGATAAGCCAAAGCACTGGCAATTTCTATGGCGATTTTGATTCGAACAAGCCACGTCAGCAATGTAGGATTGGCAGAGCGGCCATGTAGGTGACTGGCAAGAGTGCCATTTGGGATGTATTCATAGACAAGAAGGAGCTCACGGCTCTGTCGCGAAGTGCAGCCATAGAGGCAAACAAGATTTCTGTGACGCAGGCGAGTGAGGATCTCAACTTCGGTCATAAACTGTTCCACTCGCTTGTAGTTATGGTTGAATAGGTGTTTCACTGCAACTTCACGCCCATCTTGAAGCTTCCCTTTAAGTGAAAGAGCTTAAAGTTCAAAACTTTATGAAGTAAAATACAAGATTATAGGAAAAGAAACGAGAGTGATTGATCATATTACCATAGAAAACAGAGCCGAAGCCTCCATCTCCGAGTTTGTTGGAAGGGTCAAAGTTATTGGTTGCGCCTTGAAGCTCCGTGTAGGAGAAGATTGGGACTCCAAAGAAGAGTCTGCCACTGTCTGGGTCTGCATCACTTGGGTATTGATTTGTTGATCGGAGTCTGACATGGGACACAACATTCTGTTTGTGCTTGTAGAGTCCGAAGCAGAGCAGCAAAGCTAACATTAGAATGCCCAATCCTGCTCCAAAACCTGATCAAGCGTGAAGTCCTTAAGAATTTTTACTTAATTCACTGAAAGATTATCTTTATTGCATAGGAATCTTATAATGTGAATACTGTAAAAACGAAGTAAAATTACCTATTAGCAATCCCTGCTTCCAAGCCTGTCTTTTATTTTCATCTTCTGTCTCAGCCACAATTTAGAGAAGCAGATATGAAATGGACCAATCAGCCTCAGAGTTCATTAGATTAGGTCCACAAAAAGGAAAAAAAGAAATAAGCCGAGCTAATTTGATTAGTTGACAGGCATACGAAGGACCTAGTAAAAAATTCTCATATGTTACTTGTTAGACCTAAGAAATTCTCATATTCTGTACTATATGTTATGCATACCTTTAAATTTGAGACAATAAAATCCTCCGGTGCTGTTGAGCCTGCATAAGCCTTTCTCAAAACGACATTGACCACAATCAGGAGAAAGCTGAATACTGACGCCGAATTCAGAAGCTATGAATGTAAATGGATTAGCAGAGAAAGCCTGCATGTTTACTGGAACCTGAACCCTTGGACATGCTGCTAAAGAAGATGGAGTATCATCTTCATCTTGCGTTCTGAAGAAGATGGTCTCATTCTTACTCTGACCACATCCTGTATAGTTCAAGAATTGCTTTGGAAGCCTGTAATTGAGCAAACTATTACATTTGTACATGGTTATATTTGGAAATATATGAAAGGAACCCAAGGGCGAGCTTGGAGGAAGAGTAATATTGCAGCACAAGGCATCACAACTATCATTCACCAAACGCTTCTGTAAATCTCCGTCTCTAATGTAAACTTTATTATGGAACCTATGTCTTATCCCCGTCACTTGAAACAGCTTTGCTCCTAATTGCACGGTTTTCTCAGCGTTGGGGTGTTCACAGCCATGAATGGGCAAAATTCCACAATCTCTGCTTTGTGGAGTGGTTAAAGGGAACGAGAGCTTGCCCAGACTCCCACATTCAAAGAAAGGTGGGCAATCTCCAGAAGCAAACGATAGAAGAAGCACATGGTCAGCCGACAGGAACAAGAAGACGACGACGAACAAATAAACAGGCACAACCATTCTTCCGAAACTCTCAATCAGTGAGAAAAAGTTTAATGTACAAGACTCTTGTTGTTTGAAGCAAAATCTTGCTTCAAGTTTTTATCCAGTCGGAGAAGCAAGTCTTGCAATTTCTTCTGCATGGAAGACACCACGCAAGTTGAACCTCTGCGACACGGCAGTTGACTTGGCTGAAAGACCAAGACCAAGACCAATAACATGAATCAGATACGTGTCCTTCTCTCAACATTATGTGCTTCCCCCACTCCCTTATCAATAGTAGTGCCCGTTTGGTTCATTGAATTAGAGGGAATGCAATGTAACGTAATGATAAAGAATGGAATGTAATGTAATAATAATTACATAAGTTTGTTTGGTATGACAGTAAAGATAATAATAATAAATTGAATTTTTATTTAGTTAATTTAATAATAATATCAGTAAAAAGATTAAAATAGTCCATCCTTTTTCCTTCCTCTTCACCTTGTCCCCTGCCGTCACCTGTTTTCCTTCATCTTCAGTTATTACCGTCGCCTCTCAACACCATAAAACATCAATATCCTACCTATGAATCAGTATTCTACAAATGGTGTTGATGAAGAGTGTCTTGTGGAGAGTGAGGGAAACTTTAACAAAAGGGAAAAGGAGATTCGTTGCTTCTCATCCATTCTCCCTCATCACAGATCCGATTGGGCTCATTGCTAAAAAATGGCGATGTGCATTTGGGTTCGTCTTGATGGTAGATGATGACGGTGATGAGGTTTGATGGTGTGAGGAGATAGATAAAAAAGGTTGCTAGATCTATTCATTGGAGATGAAAATGGCGAGTGGCGTTGGTGAATGCATAGGACGTCCCGCGGTAGTGGGGACAGTAGGGTGTGTGGAAAGAGGAAGACGAAGAAAGAAGTTCAAGGGAGAATAAAGTCAATTTTAAAATTATAAGGGCAACATTGTCTTTTTAACTCAATTACAAGAGGTCTGCATCCCTATTCATAGTCCTCCCAATGTGATCATGATGCACTCATTTAATGTAATCAGCATTACAAAATATAATCTCATTTACATTACATGAACTCAACCAAACATTTGAATCAGCTGCTTACATTAGGATTACATGTAATCCCTTATCATATAATCGAACCAAACAGGCCACTAATGTTTGGTTCTTAACTATGCCACACCGTTGCAAACATCATCTACCAATAAATAAGCCGAATAACCAACAGCACCAGTGTAAAACTAATATCAGGCTTCATAGGGACAAATATACTGGGCAAAAGGCCAATAAGGATTGTAAATGTTGGGGGGGGGGGGGAAGCAGAGCAATGAATAATTAAGCAGAAAGAGAAAGGTGAATGATATTGAGGGAAAACCATTGACTCAACGTTTGATAAAGCGTGTCGTGGACGTGGAACACATTAGAACTTTTGGAAAAGCTCATGTGCTATGCCGTGCCTAATGCGAAAGCTGGATCACTCTTCAAATTAGATACACACATTTTGGAATTAATTAAACTATCTTCCCAAAAAAAAATGGAAAAGCTTACCTTTTTTTGCAATAACACTTGACCAAGAAATAAGCATGACAATTAATAATCATGCTCTCAGGTTTGATCATCCAACAAAGACAATTATATGGAGCTACTTAAAATAAATACTACCCCCGGTCTTTAGTATAAGTATTAGTGGACTAATTTAAATAAATTAAGTAAGTTAAATCAATCATTTGATTATAACAAATGTGACATAATTTTTTAAAAATATTCATGTATAACATTAGATCAACTTATAATTTAGTTAAATTAGTTTACATAATAATTATAAATATATGAGATAAAATATATTAAAATTTTATATTTAGGATCAAATCTAATCTTATAACTAGCCCTTGTATTAAAAATCATAGACAGTATATGATGTTTGTCGTTTCTTATAATTTTGTTATCATTTCGTATATATCTGAAATAATCGTTTATTTTCAGGTCACAATTTTCCTAATAATTCTCTTGTCACAAGCACCAAAATTCCGGCAACCGGCTGTCACATATCCATGGCCGTCAATAGAGGAAGTTTCTTTTCTCCCCTAACATAAAGATAATAACTAATAAGGTGTAATTTATTTCAAAAAGAAATCAATTAATTTCAAAATAGTCCTTAAAAACCTTACAGAAACTAAGCCATTTTTCTGAATAATTTTAGGATTTGCTTATTTCCAAAGTCATTATATATATGTTTTTCCCATAGGTTCTCAAACGCACTTACAGCTTCTATGACGATTTTGATTCAAATAGGCTCTGGTGGTGACGTACAGTTTGGTGCCCTTGAAGATGACCAGTGACACTGCCATTTGAGATGGTATTCATAGACAACGACGAGGCCTTGGCTTAGGCTTGAAGTGCAACCATATAGAGACACAACTTCTAACTTGAGAAGCAAGAAGATGCAATTAGTATAAACGATCGCAGTAGAAAATGGACCATGAATTACAAATAAGCTTACAGATTAAAGGCTGAAATTAGCAGTAGATTCACTGCTCCATTTTACGGTGACACTATTTGGTGAAGACAATGCCTTCACCATTTCTACTTGATCATAGCTTATTGGAGTCCCCCCAAATCGTGTATCTGCATTAGCCTCACCTTCCTCTACATCCCTACCTTCTTCTTTCTCACTCTCAATTTCCCTCAAAATCTCTAAAACTTCATCCATGGAAGGCCTCATCTCGTTATTTACCTGCAAACACTGAAATGCCAATTCCCCCACTGCAAACACCTTCTTCATCACCTCACTATCTTTCTCAATCCCCAAACACGGATCCACCAGCTCCTCAAGTTCGTTCCTCTCAATTTTCCGAATTGCAAGGCTCGCCAATGTAATCTCATCTTTATTCCTTCCCATATCAACTACTGGCATTGAAGATATCAGCTCTATAAGCACAACCCCAAAACTATACACATCGCTTTTATTGGTCAGCCTAAAACAATAGTGATATTCTGGGTCAAGATAGCCTGGTGTTCCTTGTGGAGCTGTAGAAACATGCGAGACATCATCTGGGAACAACCTAGAAAGTCCAAAATCTGACACCTTAACACAGAAGTTCTTGTCAAGAAGAATGTTGTTGGTTTTGACGTCACGGTGGATGATGCCGGAAGCATGAAGGTGAGCCAAAGCACTGGCAGTTTCTACGGCGATTTTGATTCGAACGGGCCATGTCAACAATGCAGGATTTGCAGAGCTGCCACGTAGGTGACTTGCAAGGGTGCCATTTGGGATGTATTCATAGACAAGAAGGAGCTCACGGCTCTGACGTGAAGTGCAGCCATAGAGGTAGACAAGATTTCTGTGACGTAGGCGAGTGAGGATCTCAACTTCAGTCATAAACTGTTCCACTCGCTTGTAGTTGTGGTTGAATAGGTGTTTCACTGCAACTTCACGCCCATCTTGAAGCTTCCCTATAAGTGAAATAGCTTAAAGTTTGAAATTGTATGAAGGAAAACAAGAGATCATAGGGGGGAAAAAATGAGAATGATTCATCAAATTACCATAGAAAACAGAGCCGAAGCCTCCGTCTCCAAGTTTGTTGGAGGGATCAAAGTTTTTTGTTGCGTCTTGAAGCTCCATGTAGGAGAAGATTGGGACCCCAAAGAAGAGTCTCCCACTGTCCGGGTCTGCATCATTTGGGTACTGGTTTGCTGATCGGAGTCTGACGTGAGACAGAGCACTGTGTTTCTGTTTGTAGAGTCCGAAGCAGAGCAGCAATGCTAATATGAGAATTCCTAATCCCGCTCCAATACCTGAACAAGCGTCGAGTCCTTAAAACTCTTCCTTTTAAAAGCGAATGTTTACTTAATTCTTTCACTCAAATATTATCTTCTAATGTTTGTTGGGAACCTCATGGTGTGAATACAATTACGACTTTATAACGACCTATGCAGACACTGGATCCGAAATAATTATGTGGGCAAAAGGAGATAGCTGAAAATGAGTAAAAATGAAGTAAAATTACCCATTATCAACCCCAGCTTCCAAGCCCGTCTGTTATTCTGATCTTCTGTCTCAGTTTCATCTTTTACCACAAAAAAATGAATAATCAGACCGATAGTCCCCAGGCATAAAAACGAGCTTCTGAAAAAGAATCAGTAAATTTAACATGTTACTTGTGATGCATACCTTTGAATTTGAGACAATAAAATCCTCCGGAGCTGTTGAGCCGACATGAGCCTTTGTCAAAAACACATAGAATACAGTCATGAGAAAGCTGAATTAAAACGGCAAATTCAGAAGCTATTAATGTGGATAAATCTGTAGAGAAAGCCAGGGAATTCACTGGAACCCGAACCCTTGGACATCTTGCCAAAGCAGGTGGAGGATCTTCTTCATCTTGCGCTTGGAAGAAGATGATCTCATTGTTACTCTTACCACATCCGGTATAGTTCAAGAATTGCTTTGGAGCGCTAACTGTGAGCGTGATATTGCATTTGTAAAAGGTTGTTATGTGTTGAATTATGGAAAACGAACCCAAGGGTGACTTAGGAGGGAGTGTAACATTGCGGCACAAGGCATCACAGCTATTATTTACCAAACGCTTCCGTAAATCTGCGTCTCTGACGAAAACTACCGTACTGGAAGCGTCTATTCTTATCACTTGAAGCATCTTTTTCCCAAAGAGCACAGTTTTTTGAGCGTTGGGGTCTTCACAGCCATGAATCGGCAACATTCCACAGTCTTTACGTTGGGGAGTGGTTAAAGGGAACGAGAGCTTCGCTAGATTCCCACAGTCAAAGAAAGGTGGGCAATCTCCAGAGGCAGAGGATAGAGGAAGCACAAGGTCAGCGAACAAGAAGAAGAAGAAGAAGACGAAGAAGAAATAAACGGGTAGAACCATTCTTCTGAAACTCTCACTCAGAGAGAAAAAGTTTAGTCTATGAAACTTTGATTATTTCAAGTAATAACTTACTTGAAGATGGTGTTATCGAGTTGGGGAATCAAGGGTGGCCATTCTTTCCCCGCGGAACACCCAAGTCCATGCCCAGTGACACGGCAGTTGACTTGGCTGAAAGACCAAGACCAAGAAGATGAATGTGAGAGACGTGTACTTTGCTCAATGTAGGGCCAGTTTAGAATGACCTGCAATTAGCTCTTCGATAGTAATTTTTAAAATACAAGAAAAGAATTTCATCTTGATTTATGTGTAATGTGTTTATAATTCATTTTAAACGTCAAGCCAAACAAGTCAATAATTTGCTTCACACCCTCTCTTATCAATACTAATGTTTGGTTCTTAATTAATTATGCTCAACGTTGCCAATATCGTATATTAAATAAGCCGAACAATCAACAGTACAAGTGTGAAACTAATAGCAGAAACGTGAATGGTAGAGGGAAGACCCTGAGTCAACGTTTTATAAAGCGTGTCATGGTCGTGGAATGCATCAGAAATTTTGAAAAAGCTCATGTGACTATAGGATCCGTTTACATTGAGGGTAAAAAAAGTAATTTATTTTTAATCTAACTTTTAGAAAAATAAGATTAGGTAAAAGTTAAATTAGGCAATGTGATTTATGTTTAAATTGACTTTTATAAAAGTTACTTCTTCCGGTTCTAAATATAAAACCCATTTTGTGATGTAATTTATATTAAAAAATAAGTCTTATATTTAGAACCAAAAGAGTAATTTGTAAAGTAAAAGAATTGTTTGGATTATCATTGGATAAGTAAGTTTGTTTGTCGAAAGACCAAAATAAATATGACTTTTATTAAACAATAAGAAATGATTAAAAATATAAACTTACAAAATATAATAATTTAAAATTATTATAATAGGAAGAAGTTATATTTAATGAATAAAATATATTTAAATTAGAAATCATAGTAATATGAAATTTTTTTAACCAAATAATATTACATAATTAATTGAATGATATACTCTGCATGATTTTTGTAAATATAATGTGAAAAATAATATTAAAAATTAAAAAATATTATAAAAATTGTTAAAATTATTTTTTCTTAAGAGAATATTAAAAATAAATAACTAAAAATTGATTGGCTAGCACAAGAAATATATAAAGAGAAGCATAAGAATAATATAAACATAAGGAAAAATGTAACATACTGTTTAAAAAAAAAAAGAAATCAATTAATTAAAATAATATAATATTATTATATTATAAATATATATATATATATATATATATATATATATATATATATATATACCCAGCTTTCCACCGACTTCGGTGGAAAAGCTAGGCATAGTGAAGAACAAAGAAAACATGGGCGCATGAATTAATTGGAGGAAGAAATAAGGGGGTGCATTAAATTGAAGAAGGAAAAATGGGGGATGGGGTAGTTAGATGGTGAAGGGAAAATAGGATAAAAGAGGGGGAGAGGAGAAGGAGGAGGAAGAGAGTGAAGGAAGAGAGAAGAGAGTGAGAAGCTGAGAGGAAAAGAGAGAGAGCGCTAAATTGCAGAGTACCTGACGGTTTTGGAGATCATTTAGGTACACAAAACTACTTCTTGTTATCATATTTTCTTTATGAATATTTCCTATATATTTATATATTTATATTATTAGTTTCATTATCATGTTTAGAGAAAATTTTACCGTTTGAGTATAGAGTAAATATGGAGTTTTGACAATATATGACCGTAGAAATTTAAAGATACATTATTAAGGAATTTTAATCGGTTTATTTTTGTTGAATGATTATTTTGAGAATTTTAAACTAAGATTTTAGTTGAAAAGTTTGTTATTTAGACTTGTAATATGTTTTTACCGATTAAATTTGAGTTAAATAATTTATTTGAGTTATTTAATATATTATTGAGGTTTTAATCGGTTTAAATATTGAATAAGTTAAATATATATTTTTTTGAAATAATTTTTGAAGGCTTGAAAAATTATAAATTGAGAATTTTGTGAAATTAAATAAAGCTACAGTTTGTTTATAATTAAAAATATATATATACTTTTGTTAAATTTAAATAGCCTTATATGTAAATTATTTTTCGAAATAATATCTATTATAAATGCCTAGATTTGGGAGAGTTAATATATTTATGTAATTTTGGTTTAGAGGGTAGTCTTAGAATTTTAGAGTAGCTTTAGAGTAGTTCTGAGTTTATATTAATAAATATTTATGTGTAATTTTGTAGACCCTTGAGATTTTGAAGTAATCCTTGTGTGAATATTTGTAAGCTAAAGAGTACCAGGTAACTCTGAAAATTCTTTCTTGTACATGTGAATTGTATATGATTATATTGTGGATTTACTAATTATTATATTCCTGAAATATAATATTATGATTTCTGTAAAATAAATGTTTTGGTATGTTACATGATTTTATTAAGATTTGTTGCTAGTAATTATGTTCAATATTTAAATATATTAATAGCTATGAAATTATCATGAATTGCTATTAAATGGTATATAAGTTTTATTGCTATCTTATTTTTAATATATTTGAGGAAGTATTTATGATGTAACATTGTTGGCATCTGACATGCATTGTTGGGCTAAGGATAGAAGGAGATTGCATGGATATAAAATTACCACGTGGTATGCCATCACTCGGTGCACAGTAGATGGCACTTGTCAGGGCCCCTTCTTCCATGTTTTCCTTTGGCCAGGAATTCATTGGAGCTGTGGGACATGTGACACCTCCCTATTCACAAAGGAGGGGAGCCATAGTCCGAGCTTGAGCTCTATATCTTTGGCCGGATATATCTCTTGTATTGGTGAGCTTGGAATAATTCAGTAAAATGGATTAGTTCCTATCGGACTATGTGTTAGCCTATGGCTCCAGTCAGCGGTATAAGGGTGGACGGTGATATAAGGGAGGCATCATATTGCATTATTTTCGGATATATTAGAAAAATGATATTGGTATAATGTTGGGAAAAAAATGAAATTGAATTGAATGTATCAAATCCGTGATTTTTAATATATTTATATACACACATATAAACAAATTTTTGGTTTATCATATATGATTTGCTTGTATAGGTTAGAATTTCAGTAGTTACTGAGACGTTAGATCTCACCCCCTATATTAACAATTTTTCAGGCGAAGGATCTAGTAAGAATCAAGGGAAGGCACCAATGGAGTGAGCCGTGAAGGCTTTTGTGCTCCTCAAGCACATGCTATGTTATATTTTTATTTGCCATGACTATAAGACTTTAATAGTTTATGTTGTTAAGTGATGTTAGAAATGTTTTGAAATTTTGACTTATTTGCAGTATTAAAAATATGTATGGACTTTTAAATTAAATATTTTATCGAGTATATTGATATAATTATGTGGGGTGTTACAAAAAAAATATCTTTTAATTCCAAAAAACTATTTTTTCATAAGTCGTAAGTAAGTTTTAAGTATTTTTACAATCGCATTAAAAAAAAACAGCTTTTGACTCATAAATTAGATTGGTCAAAAACTATTATAAACTGTTCTCAAATTTACAAACAGACTTATCACACCTATAAATTACTGCTTACCCGCTGAAACGCCTTACCAAACGGGCACTACGTTGCCTAATAAAGAAGCTGCGTCACTCTTCAGATTAGATATGCATATTCATGTTTCCTTTTGATCGCCATGCCCATCCAAGTAAAAGATGACATCGTATGGGGATAATATGGAATGAAAGTGCAAGTTTTAACCATGTTTAACAACATTTCGTTTGTATGCTTATGAAGATATAACTTTACATTAAGGCTGAGATGGATGAATAGTGCAAATGAATAATGAACATGCATTCATTGGCTTTGCGAATATTCCTGCTCCATTAGAACTCATCTGGGTATACTTTCATGATTTGTAATTGTACGTGTGGAATCAATCAATTTTGGAATTAGTTAAACTGTCTTCAACTGTAGAGTTTTGAAAAGCTTACGTTTTTGCCTCTCATCAATGCTTTTGTTTCATGAGATTATTTGAGAAGGATTTGATGAGGAGGAGATTGAGAAAAATGCTTACAACGACATGGAGATTCTAGAGAGCTTCAATACTAACCAAATGATAGTTTAAGGACTAATGCTCAAATAGTTACATGATATAAAGAATTTATTGCAAAAATTTGAAACCCAAAAGTTTATATAGAGTATTATTTTTTAAATTAATACTTTATCAAGAAAGAAGCAGAGGGGCCTATATACAAGTATGACATATATGTTCTTGGCTAATTAATATCCATGTCTCTCAAATTTGATCATTTGTTAATGACAATTATACATGGAACCAATTAAGACGTGCATAAAGTTCTTACTTAAACTGAAATAATCATTTATTTTCGAGCCACCATTTTCCTACTAATTCTCTAATCATATAGGCACCAGAGCTCCAACCATTTGATTGGGGCTTGACATATGGTTAGTGATGGAGGGAGTTTTTTCCTATTGCATAAAGATAACAAGGTAATTTGACCCCACAAAAAGTTACTTTTAGAATAGTTCTTAAACACCTTATAGAAATGAAGTCATTTTGCGTCACTGTTATTTTTAGGATTTGCTTGTTTCAATTGTCATTATTTCTTTTTCCTTTGTAATCTTGCACAGGTACACCAACGCACTTGTGGTTTCCTTGACGATTTTGACGCAAATAGGCCATGACAATGGGAAAGAAAACCTCTCCACTTTTCTTACCATTCACTTCCCCCCACTTCTTTATTCTTATGATTACGTCAACTTTGAATTGCTAAAATCTAATACTACGTACCTCTTATCATACATATAAGTCACTTGTACGTATATTTGCATACTAAGAAATATATTAAATTAACAAGATTTTTCAATTTACCCTTATTAAAGTTTTTCTTTCTCCCTATACATCTACCAATTATTCTCATATCTCTCTCTTACTTCTCTCTTTCCAATGAGAATCAAATAAGGGTAAAATTAAAAAAAAAAAAAACAAGTATTAAATATACTACAAGTAACTTTACATTTAGGATTAAAATTTTTTCTTATAACTAACTTGTATTTATGACAAAA